ATTTTGTGGTGTCTGTGGGTGTACACACACATGCATTTGCAATTCCAGGCTTGTTTTTGCATCTCGTCATGAATCGAACAGGTCTAAAAAATGTCGAATGGCCCAGCTCTCGACCCGAACGTCACAGTTCCACGAGCCGAAGACCTTAGGACCTGTGACTGACAATGCAGCGGCGCCACATTAGTTATATGAACTGCACATCTATATACTGTATGGTTGGTGGTTAAACCAAAATGTAAATCCAGTTAGAGTCTTAATGCCTATCATGAAAGACTAAACAGGTCTGCCTAAGCCTATTGCTCCGCGAGCTCTTTTGTTTTTAAAATTTTTCCCAGCATAGGAAACCAGTTCTTGTATCCATACACAGTCTACACAACTCTACCTATGGTTACCGTTGCCACTATCCGACCGTTGTTCACATGTAGTGGGGTTTTTAGTTGCGGTTCGGGGGAAGCGTCGTTTCCGGCTGGTCCCGTGTAAGCTGGGGACGCGTGTCGTTTCCCGACGTGTTCTGGCAGCAGCATTTGAAGGTCCGTGTGCCGCGCTTGCCACATTCCCAGCAAAATAGTATCGAAGGGTTCTGGCAGTCGTATGCCACATGCCCCGCTTCACCACACCGGCGACAGGCTGCGCGTGGGTTGGCGATAGGGGTCGTGATGGGGTCGTCTGCCTGCTTGAGGGTGCTTGCTGCCTCCTTGGCGAGTCTGCCGCCTCCCAGTGGGGTTGCCGAGATGGTGGCCGGGGCGGGTCGCCGTTCCTTGGCTCGGTGGCCGGCCTTGGGTATCTTGGGTTGTTTCGCGGCGGTGCGAAAGTGGTCGGGATGGTCCGCTCTTGGATGCTCTCGAACTCGGTAGCCAACATTGTGAGCTGCGCCAAACTTTGGAGTTCGTGTCGCCGCACATACATCTGGTATGCTGGCAGGGCGTTATCGTAGATCCTGTTCAGTTCCTTGGCTGCGTCGTACCTGGCGTGGTGCATGAGTAAACGTGTCTCGATGAGGTAATCCTTGAACAATTCTCCTCTCGCTTGCTTGCGGGCCCGGATTCGGTCTTCCAATTTTTTAGAAGTACCGATGGGGCAAGAAAAAAGTCAAGAATTCTTGGCGGAAATATGCCCATGAGCTGCCTTGTAGTTTGCTGTTGCGGTAGCAGCGACTGGCCCGATCGGTGAGAAGCTCTGTCATGGCCCGAGGCAGCTGATTCGTGTCCACCCCATATGAGAGAGCACGTTCTTCGAGTAGTTCTAGAAATGCGAGTGGATCGTCCTGTCCGTCGAACCTGATTCCCCATTTCCGGATCTGTTCCGCGATGTGGGCGGTGGAAGAGTCCATGGCTGGCACGAACCTCTGGGTGGGCGAGCGGCTGGTCTCCGTAACTGGAGGTCTGGGCAGATCGGCTGGCGTTACGAGGCGTGGTGGGCAGGGTGTGCTGTATTCGGCCGCTGTGGGGACTTGTAACCCGGCTTTTGGGTCGGTTTTCCGCTGGTCAGACGGCCCAGGAGTGGTGGGCATGGGCGACTTGGAGCGTCCTGCTGGTCTGGCGTATTGCCGTTCGAGGTCTGCCAGTCGAACCCAGGCATCCTGCGAGAGTGTTCCGGCGACTAGTGCGGCGAATCTCTTTCGTCGTTCCTCGACTGTTCCTTCGTTGCCGAATCCGAATTCCTCGGGCTTCCAGCTCATAAAGCCGGAGTTTGTAGATCCAGCCGGTGGTGACTCCCGGATTGGTATGGAGTCCCTCCGGGTAAAATTCGTCGGGTTGACCGGCTTCGTGGGCTTCCATGGTGTGTTTTTGCAGTTAGTAGCACTGACTCACGTTGTGTTGGTGGTCTCCATGGTGTGTCTGTCGATTCCCAATGGGGACTCAGAAATGGCGTCTGGTGCGAGTCGCAATTCCTCTGCTCTGAAGCCGGTCCCTGCTCGGGCGCCACTTGTGAGGTCCTTTTTCAGGCTGAGGTATGCATCAGTCTGCATGGGTCCGCTACAAGAAAATTTGTAGTTTGTAGGTGACTTCAGGTGTCGGGCTGGCTTGAAATATGCAGTAGGCAAGCGAGAAATGATGATGCGAGAGTTTTTGTTTGCTGGTTTTCTTGGTTTTATTCAGTATTCTTTTTCATTCACTTTAATTCTTTTAGGTTGCTACTTTGACTCGTAGTTGAATGGTGCGCTGGTGGACTGCGTACTGCTTTGGCCGTGCTTGGCCTTTTTAAGCAGCTGGCACCTGGGGTTCTGACCCGGAAATAATTGCTTATTGCTAACTTATGATTATTGGTGACAATAATTGTGGCGCGTGGTAAGTGGGTCAGTGTGTTTTTGCCGAGATTGCATCTCGGAAGGTGTGGTTGGGAATTTGAGTCTCAAGAATGAGTTCTTGCTAACTCTGCATCGCGGACGTTGAGTTTGGGCCAGTAGGTCGCTAATTTGATGCCGGCTTGACTTATTGCGAAATTTTTATGCCGGTTTGAGGTATTGCGAAATTTTATGCCGGCTTGACTTATTGTGAAATACCGCAAATGATATCTCTTATGTAGGTCGTCGATTGCGCAAATGTCCCAAGAGGTGGGGTGTTTTAAATAGGGTTGTTGATCGAGCTTTCTTTATTGTGTGATTTTATTGTTCTTTTGGTGACTGCCGGGGTTAAGCCCTGGTTCGGTGGCTCTGTAACTTAATTTGAGTTTCATTTCAAATCCGTGTGGGTGCACCGACACTTCGCCGTATGTAACGAGTCATGGGTAGACCCATGGTTCGTTACAAAATGTGAAAAACGGTCCTTTTGGGAGTTTTCCTACGAGCACCCAATTCAATTGTTAATGGAGCTTGTTAAGGAGGAGTCCACCGAACAAAAATTGCGTGCTGCGTATCTCAATTTTAAGGTGTCACTTTTAAAGTTAGAATCAGTGCATCCCAAAAGACCTTTATGGAGCCTGGCAAGTATTTGTGTTACCATTTCGTAGTTTGCAATCAGAATTATTTTAATTTAAATGATTAGGAACGGTTTGGCCAGTTTTATGAGCTGGATTTTCCGTCCAATACCGAGGAGTTTTTCAAAGAACAGTTTCGCATGAGACGAGTCGCTTTCGATGACCTGGTTGGAAGGCTTTCGTCAATGGATAAGACGGATACTAATTTTAGACCGTGTATTCCACTGGACAAGACTCTGTGGGAAGACTCTTCGGGGTACCGACAGCTTCGGTCTGTACGATATTTAAGGACTTTTGTTTGGCTGTCTGGAAAGCTCTGACACCTGAATATTTGCCGTCCAATTTTTTAACTCAGAGGAATGTAGAGGAGTGTCTGAAAGGCTTTCAAGAGCTGGGGTTTTCTCAATGTTTTGGAGCGATTGGTTGACAATTTTTTAAACTTGCAATATAATAACTTATTGTAATGGACTTGTCTCTTTCAGGTGGTACCCACATCGAAATTAGCCCACCGAAAAGTGATGCCGTGGACTTTTACAACTATAAAGGCTGGTATTCAATACTACTATTGGCTTTGGTAGACCACAAGTTTGTTGTAAGAACTCATTTAGGTAAATATAACTTAACTCGGTTATTTATTCGTAAATATCGATTTAAATACATCAATGTTGGTGCACCAGGCAGATGCAATGACTCGCAAGTGTTTGAGGAGTCGCAATTAAAACATTTAATTGAATCGACGGGCATCTTTGGGGATAATGCGAAGGAAATATGTGGAGTTTCGATTCCCGTTTCCATTTTGGGAGATTCGGCATTCCGTTTCTCAAAGACCCTCATGAAGCCTTATCCATTTTCAACTTCCGCACCGCTGCAAGAGAAACAATTTAATTATCATCGCTCCAAGTGCAGGCAAGTTGTAGAGAACGCCTTTGGTCATTTAAAGGCACGGTTTCGACGACTACGAAAAGAAATCGAGAAAGCAATTATCAAGTGTGCCTGTGTTTTGCACAACTACATAATTGCGAGTGGAGATGGAAACCTGCCATAAGATGTAGCCCCCGCAGAGCATGCCTTGAGTGCCAGAGAGCAACCATGCCTAGACTTCACACTGGGCAATCGAAAGAGGGAAGTGGAGAAAATAAGAAATGCAATATCTTTATATTTTGGCAAGTTTATTTACTTATTTTTAAGCAGCTCTAGGAACTGTTCCTGTATACTAAGAAACCGCTCAATTTGGTCGCTACGGCGCCTCGGCTCTTAGCAATCACCGCCAGACTCTCTGCAGCCATTCTGGAAGACTCGTTGCTAGCCCTCAATTCCTTAATAACACTACTCGACAAAATCGAACTTTTTTTTTCCTCAAGGATCCAAACCAACTTTTTCTGATAGATATGGGAATATGGGAATGGGCTCAACTGCCCATTGGGAATTGGGATCGCGATCAGGTACCAAATGTACAACCCTTTTTCGTTTGCTTTGTTCCCAATTGGCAGTTGAGCTCGCAACCTTCCAAAAGGTATTTTTTGTTAATTTTTTCCATATTTTAGGTTTAGTTAACGAATTTTAGCTCAAAAGTCTCTCCATAGATTTTAATGAGCGATACCTTGAACGACGCCAAATTAATGCACCTATACACAAAAAATAGAGGACACAGGATATAATTTTTTTTCGACTTTTCCTGAGTTTTTAAAGTCAAAATTTCGTAAAAAATACCGCACAAAAATCATCATTTTTGCATTTCAATGCTTTATATTTCCCAGACGGTAAGCTGTAATCACAAAGTGTTTGGGCTTAACTTCTAGCTGTTTTAATTATCTTTTCAAAATAGCAAAGTTCTTTACAACCAGACGTAAGATACTAGAGATATGTGAAAAAAACAAGCGCTACCTCTGAAAAAAGCTTATAAAAAAAATACCAGTTTTCAAAAATTCTTAAAAAAAAAGTTCTGCCATAGAAAAAAAAAAAAATATCATCAAACCATTTCTAAGCCGCAAATCTTAAAGAAAAAGTTCGTTTTGTTCCTTGAGGAAAAATCGTGTTGACTATTGTAATTTCATCCCGCTCACCATTTCCTCTTCTTTTTTTTGCAGCTGGCTCCTCTGCTGCTGAGAACGATGAATTGCTCTCGTCCAATGAGACCGACTCATTTGAGTACATTGAAGCTGAATTTTAAATCATGAGGCACATCATTGGCAAGTGTTGCCGTATTCTGTCTAGTATTTTTACAAAATACTAAAATTATTCGGGCTATCGACGGGGTATCGACAGCAAACAACTGTCAAACAGTAAATTCAGTTTAATGTTTAAATATGAGCAATACGGGAAAGCAAAAGAAAAAGAAGTGGACAGAGGTGGCGGAAAATGTCTTAATAGACTTGTGGGGGGAAAAAATGGAAGATTTTCGTGGGTTGCTCAAGAAAACCCACATTTACGAGGAGATGGGTGAGGAACTAAAGCAGCAATTCTTCGATTTCTCTCCACAAGAAATAAAAACCAAACCTAGAGAATTTTCGCCGGAAATATGGTTAAGTAAAGACTACAATTATAAGTGCATAGGGATGATAATAGATATTTCAACTTCCAGATTGGAGAAATCAAAGACGGGACCAAGCGGAGGGTCACCATCTCAGTGGGTGCATTTCGAGAAGGTGGCCCAAGTGCTAGGGCGCTCAAAGGCAGTCAACTTCCTGTCACAAATTGAAGAAAGCTCAAGTAACTAACAATACACGTAACTAACACTAACTAACTCTGCTGCTCCTCTGCCCTAAACCACGGTTTGTCTTTCTTTAGGACGCTGGTCATTAGTTATACGATTGTAGCAAAATTCGGAACGAATCTTCGGTACCACGAAGGCATTCCCAAACAGTGTCTCAGATCCTTGATTGTACTAAGGGGTGTTAGCTTCAGGATTGCCACAATCTTCTCTGGGTCGGTATGGATCCCTTGCTCGCTAACAACATGTCCCAGGTAGGCGATGCTCTTTTGGAAGAAACTGCATTTGTTTTGGTTCAGTCTCAGATTTGCTTCTCGAAGCCTCGGAATATTTTTCGCAGATTATTGACGTGGTCATCCAAAGCTTTTCGATGAAAATGATGTCAGCGAGGTAAGCGAAGGAATGTGGTTCCATCTTGGGTCCGATAACGCTGAACGCAGGGCTCGCTGAAAGGTGCAGGTGCTGAGTGCAGTCCGAAAGGCATAGAACAGTCTTTTGGCACCGTAAATGCCTTGCATTCCCGACTTCCCTCCGCCATCGGGACTTGCCAATACCCATTCTTCAGATCCAATGTCGAGATGTAGTGGGCGTAGCGAAGTCTCTCGAGATTGATCCTTGGGGAGCAGATAGGCATCAGGTAGCAACCGGGCGTTGAGTTGTCTATAGTCGACGCACATGCGCATCTCTTCTGTCTTTTTCCCTACGAGTACTATGGGCGCAAAATGCGAAATGGGTTCCGCCGTTGGCCCTTTGCGGCGTCGGCCAATGGTGCCAGCTTGTAATCCATGCGGGTGTTATGGTCAGGGTAGTCCCTCTGGGTCTGCCTGTCGTGAGCTGGTGCAATGGTGGTGTCTTCCTGGGCCCTCGGCGTCGTCCTTGTAAGACCTCTGGGTATTTCAGGGTCGGATGGTGGCTATGGCGTTGTCCTGGTGGAGCAGGTGGTTCTTTCGTCGTCAAGGCAGGGTTGAATTGTTCCTTGGGCGTTGCTGCGTAGTCTGGTATGGTCGAGGCTGGGGTGCGTTGTCCGTGTGTGGTGGTTTTGTATTGTCTTCAGAGTAGGTCGACTGGCCCTGGTTGTATCCAACGGTGTCTGGGTGCATCTAGCGGTGTCGTAGTCTGTGCCCGGGGTCTGGCTTGGTCGAATCCGGATGTCATCTCTGTGTTGTCTGTGTTGCGAAGTCTGCTTGGTCGAAGTTTGCATGCGTTGTAACATGGGCGTTGCTGGACCGAGCATGGTCTAATTGTGTCGCAAGCGTTTTCATAGTGGTGGCCGTGGGGTCAGTACGGGAACTGGTAGTAAGGGGTTTGAGTGGAGAAGGGTCGTCACGGAAGGTCACGGTGAACGGCGTGGTCGGCGGTAACGGGTTGGTTTCCCGGGTCAACTGCAAGTGTGCTCGTCCGCATTAGATTATGGCCTTGATGCCGCATAGGAAGTCGAGTCCTAGGATGACCACCATAGGTAGTACTAGCAATGTCACCTGCGTTTCTTGTTGATCTAGCCTTACCTTGACTGTCACTGCTAGCGTCACCTCCTTCGTCGCCCCGTCGGGCAGGCGGACACGTGTCCTTACGTTTTGTACTTTCTCTTCCTTGCTTAGCTCCTTCACTGTCCGCTGCCTGACGAAGGAGCGGGTCGCCCCTGTGCCGAGGGTGCTGACAATGGTATTCCAGCGATGGTTACTAGTGCGGTGATTTTACCCCATCTAAGATTAGGGGATGCGTTACTCCTGGGGGTCCTGGATGGGTGTCTCCGTTCGGTTCCCTGCCGGACCTGCGGCCACCGCACTCCCAGAAAAATACATCACGTCGATTCCTGCAGGTGCTGCTGTGCCTTCCTCTCCGGCAGGCACAGGTATACGTGTGGTTGTTGGTTGGGTGGGTTTTGTCCGTGGTCCCGAGTCGTCTCATATTCCACTAATAGCGAGAGCTCCCTCAATGTCTCGAACTCGTATCTCCTGGTGAAGAGTTGATGTTCGAGCCTCTGGTTTTCGTATATTCTGACCAGCTCTCTGTCCGGAGTATATTGAGCTCATTGCATCATGAGTCGAAGGTCAATCAGGTAATTCGGGAATGCCTCATGGAGTCGTTGGTACCGGCTTCGGATCGTGACTACCAGGGGGCAATAAAAATCGATGAACTCCTTTCGGAATTCGTTCCAGGGCTTCCCTTGCATCTGTAATGCATCTGTAAAACCATCCTTCCGCCTTGTTGGTTAGTAATCCGCAGATGGCTCGAGTCAGGTGTTCTGGGTTCCCTTCCTTCGGTGCCGTTTTCAACGAGGCCGAGATTTATGGCGATGGCCTGCAGCTCGTCCTTGCGCCTATACGAAGTCCACTGCACACCCATAGGATGACGAGTGAATTACCACTTGAATAACTTACTAAGGGGTGGACTCCAAAAACTGAGTGAGACTCCCGAAATCAGTTACGCTGTTGGACTGTTATCCTATTTTGGTCACTGTCGCGTTTGCGATTCTACTGTGTTTCACACTATTGGTCGTTGTCCTGTGGTATCGTTCCGATAATCCTGGTCGCCGTTGGTCCTTGTAGTCGTTGCTCCTTGTCGATGATCCTTCTGATCGTTGCTCCTTGTTATCCTGGTCGTTGCTCCTTGTCGATGATCCTGGTCCTTGGTTCTTGTTAACCTGGTCGTTGTTGCTCCTGGTGATCCTTAACGATGTTCTTTAGTGCTGCGTGCTCACTGTCTTGTTATCCTGATCGATGGTCTTTGTAATCGTTACTCCTTGTCGATGATCCTGGTCGTCGTTGCTTCTTTGTAATACTTTTCTATGTTCCTTGGTCGCGGGTGAGTTTGACGCTGCGTGCCTTCTGCTGCTTTTCTTCTGGCTTGGGGTCCGAAATAAATAGCACGGGCGTCCGATGCTCGGAAAAGTTCTGCCTCTCGGTGCGTCTCTGCTCTTCCCAGCGTTTCAGAGATCTTCCATAGAATACCTGAGCAGTCGCTGGGCGGCACCCTTGGGCAGAGAATAGTGTATGGGACGGCGAGCGACAGCGATCCCCCAAAGAATACCTGGGCAGTCGTCGGCCGGCACCTTTGGGAAACTACTGGTCTACGGGGGTAGGGGTACGGCAGAGATTTATAAAAATCATGGGTCATCGCAGGAAATTACTACAGTGTGGTTTGCATTTATTCTTATTGGATTCCTTTGCTCCTGCTTAACCGCACCGCTCAGGAGTCCTCCTACTCACGACGGTGCGACTCGCTTACCCCTTTCTCCTTGCACAAGAGGACGGGCAGGACACGCCCAAGCGGGCAAGGGACCACAATAGTCCGACAGAAGTACAGAGGACTACGCCGGCAAAAAAAACCAGGGCAGACCGGGATAACTCCTGCGCCGACATGATAGCGGAGTTGGGAACCCTACTCGACACGCTGCTCAGCCGACCGAAGGAAAAGCGGCACATAAACATAAACATGATCATGAGGGACATGTTTACAAAAATGAAGGCCCACCGAGAAGGTGCTTGCGCCCCACTTAAAAAATCGAGCGACGGTACTCTCCCGAGGACGCCAACGGAGCCCACAGAGTGCCCCTCCTAAGGGCGAAAGAAGGCAAAAGGAGTGGACACGAAGCTGCAGACCTCCTCTCGCCCCAAACGGGGCAGCGCCGCACAAACGGACCCATGGCGTCGGCTTAGCCGCGAGGTCCCCCTCTCCGACTGGGAAGCGGCGACCAAGCCCGAAAGGAAGAATAAGGGGAAAAGAACCAACGTGCAGTCCACTACTTCGAATCCAGAGGAACGAGCCGTAAAAAGCGCAATCCCAGGCAGTGGCCAGCTCACAGGCTGGAAAAAGGCCAGTCCAAAGAAGCGAGATCGGAAACCACACCGACCTGACGCTCTGATTGTCGAGGCTAATTGTAGAACCAACAGCGAGGTTCTATCTTTGGTCACCCGTAGAGACGACGGTCAGCTGCAGGACCTGAGCAAAAGCGTCAACAAGGTTCGCCGCACAGCAAATGGCAACTTGCTTCTTGAGACATAGGCGACGTTTCAAGCGCAGCCTCGATAAAGGAGCGACTGGACACGGTACTGGAGGGAGTAGTGGCAGGGCGAGCCCTCTCGCAAGAATTGAGGGTGAGAACGCTAGTGATCAGTGACCTGGACCCACTTGTGCGTGCGGAGGACCTCACCAAGGCTCTTGCGGACCAGTTTTCCGTAGATGCTAGCTCGGTGACTGTAAGAAGCTTGCGCCCATCCTACAGGGATACCCAGTCGGCCGTAAATGGACTGCTGATTACGTGGTCCTGGGCAAAGGCAAGATGAAGGTGGGGTGGACGATGTGCAGAATCAAGAAAAGTGACTCGAAGCCAAGGTGCTACAAATGCCTGGAGATCGGGCACATCGCGCCCAAATGCCAGAGTGCAGTGGACCGTACGGGATGCTGCATACGCTGTGGCGACAGAGGCCACAAGATAGCAACTTGCATAAATAAGGCAAAATGCTTCGTCTGCGCTGACCAAGGCCGCGACGACAGAGGTCACCAAGCGGGAAGCCGGCAGTGTCCCCTCGCCAAGCAAGATGTCGTACCAAGGAAACGACGATGGAAATGATCACTGCAGGGCCGCACAGGACCTGCTCCTGCAAACGGTGAGAGAGCTCAACATAGTCCTGGCTATCCTCAGCTATCCTCCTTCACACTCCACAAGGTCAAGGCCGGAGATGCATTCGTGCGCGCGAGAGCTGGAAACTTCTGGGTATACAGCTGTTACCTAGCGCCTAGTCTGTCCCTTGAGGCATTCAGCCGGAGCATCGAGGACATTGCAAACGATGCAAGGAGCCGCAGTCCCGTCCTAATCGCAGGGGACTTCAACGCTTGGGCACACGAATGGGGTAGCCAGGCCACCAACGCAAGGGGCCGAGCGCTGCTCGAAACCTTCGCATCACTCGACCTAGCCCTGCTGAACGAGGGCTCCCAGCAGACCTTTTGCAGGGCAGGAGCAGGGTCGATTATCGACCTTACGTTTACGAGCCCCTCG